AGGTATAGGGGACATATCTCCTTTCACCAATAAGCCATCCCTTTAATATTATTATAACTAAAGGAAACATTCATGTATATCCCAATATTACCCTCAATCATTTATACCCAATTCTTAATTGTAATCCAAATTAATCAATTTTGTCCATAAAAGTTCAATTTTGACCACAAAAATTCAATTTTGACTTTTTTTTGTAGTATAATTTAATATGCTCCAATTTCATCCTTAACTTAATTTAATCTCAATTTGACCCCAAATTTCACAAATTATTAAATTTTGACCCAAAATTTTTTTTTCAAAAACTTTTTTTTGCCGCCGGATTCCGGCGTTGACCGGCGGTCAACGCCGGTCTCCGGCGTTCACTTTTTAAACTTTTTTTTTTTTTTTTTTTTTTTTTTTCTTCCGGATTTTTTTTCCGGATTCCGGCGTTGACCGGCGGTCAACGCCGGTCTCCGGCGTTGACTTTTTTTTTTTTTTTTTTTCTTTTTTCTTTTTTTTTTTCTTTTCTTTTCTTCCGGATTTTTTCGCCGGTTTCCGGCGGTCTCTTTCTTTAGTGTTTTTTTTTTTGTTTGGTTTGTTTTGTTTTTCCACGCCCGCCGCTACACGTTGACCGTAATTGTGCTATCACTGACAGTAATTTAGCGTAATTATACTGTCAATGATAGTTAATTAACGTAATTGTACTGCCGTTGACATTACATTTATGTAATTGTGCTGCCGTTGACAGTAAATTAATGCAATATTATATTTTTTTATTTATTATTATTATTTTTTTTTTTTTTTGATTTGTTGACAAGTCAACGTAATTATATTACTGTCGTTGACAGTAAAATAACTGTAAACACAATAATATTACTGTCAACAACATCAATATTATTATTTTTTTGGGGTGTTTGTTTTGTTCGAGTTATTCACGAAGTAACGTAATAATATTACTGTCTACTATTGTAATATTACTGTTGCTATAGTAATATTACTGTCACTCACAGTAATATTAATTCTTTTGGTTTTTTTTATTTTGTTTACATTTGTTGAACGGACAACATAGTAATATTACTTTATTATACAATAATAATGAATTTTGTTGTGTTAATATTAATGTGCTAGAGATTAATATAGCAATATCAATGTGTTAAACTATAGTTTAGTTAATTTTACTGTGTTTAACAGTAATATAGTTAATATTACTGTCATTCACAGCAATATTGCTGTTTAAACGGAAAAAAAAGTTACAGACAACAAAAGAAAAAAAAAAAAAAAAAAAAAATTTAAAAAGTCAACGCCCGAATCCGGAAAAAAAATCCGGAAGGAAAAAAAAAAAAAAAAAAAAAAAAAAATTAAAAAGTCAACGCCGGAGACCGGCGTTGACCGCCGGTCAACGCCGGAATCCGGCGGGAAAAAAAAGTTTTTGAAAAAAAAAAATTTGTGAAAAAAAAAAATTTGTGAAAAAAAAAAAGTTTTGGGTCAAAATTGAATAATTTGTGAAAGTTGGGGTCAAATTGAAGTTAAAGTAAGTTAAGGATGAAATTGGAGCATATTAAAGTAAGAGGGGTTATTTTAGTCCTTTACATAAATCTGGACCATGTGTGGACTTATTGGTAAAGGAGAATATTGTCTGGATCTCTTTATGAATAAGTTCCCACTGATGGGCTTATTTGTAATATGCCCTATATATATATATATATATATATATATATATATATATATATATATATATATATATATATATATATATATATATATATAATACGAACCGCGTAGAACTTGTTACGAGACCCTATTATATATCTTACGCGGAAGCAAGATCGAAGACATCTAAAAACAAAGATTCAAGTTTGGCGGAAGCACGGAATAATGACCCCATAGCTATAAAGAGCTAGAAACCATTATTATCAAGGTGGAATATTGACCCCGTGGTTATAAAAAACCAGAAACCAATATTATGTCAGTAAGAAAGTTACAAGAATCCACTTGTAAAATCCCGAAGTTGCTGTAGAACAGCGAAATAGAAATAACTCTCAATTTACTCAAATATTCATTAAAATTCGTCCCTTAAAATAAGTCAAATTGGCAACCTATTTATAAGATCTAAAAAGACTATTTTTTCACAAGGAAAATGACTCCTGCCTAATCTATAATAAGGAAACTTAAAAATAAGCAAATCATAACCATAAAATACTCTAAAATAATAAAAACATAATAAAACCTAAATTAAAAACGTGCATAATTAAATAAGATAACTTGATCTTCAAGTCGACTTCTCGATCACCCTTCTTAACTCGCGACATTGGGCTGTGCACGTGCATGCAATTAAAGTTCAATTTCGACACTGTTCCACTTCGAATATCTCTTCGCTCAAAACATGAAAGTTGTAGATCTTTCAGTTAGCTTTCCGAATCATTTTGAATCGGATTAAATGGACTTCAGATGCGAGAGTTATAACTCGAATAGTAAAATCTGCTAGAATAGGCGAGAATCTCGGATGCATGGAATTCGACTTGTCCAACGAATTCTTCTCTTTCCTTTCTTCCAATTCCAAACCATAGACATCTCAAACATTTGATTCCAGCCTTTCTTCTCCAAGGAAAACTCGAATGTCCTCTTAAAACTCGTACGCTTGCGCTTATTCCAATTCTTCATCTTTAAGCTTGCTAGGATCGTATCATACTCCCCCTCTTTAAAAGGATTCGTCCTCGAATCCGGACAAATATCACAAGGAGTATAAACAAAATCGATCTCATAATCGATCTCTCTGTTCGGTTGCAAACTTACACATCTCTGCACCACATCGCAGAACACACCATCTTGCAGCCATTGAAATGTGTACGAACATGGATATTTTGTAGCTCGAGTTCCCAATGCGTCCAATCTCTGTATAGAGAATGGATGAAGCATCTCTTTAGGCACCGCCATCTCATCAACATGCACAATGTTAGTTTGCACTTTGTTTAGCTCGACATTAACTCCGCAGCGGGACAACTCCCACGAGCAATCAACTCGCTCGGAACTATGAACCCGTTGCGAGACAACTCCCACGAGGAGACAACTCGTTCGGTCCTACAACCCCTTGCGAGGCAAATCCCACGAGGAGCAAACTCGCTCAGTCCTACATCCCGCAGCGAGACAACTCCCACGAGGAGGAAACTCGCTCGGCACTATGAACACGTTGCAAGGCAACTCCCACAAGGAGACAACTCGCTCGGTACTACGAACCCGCGGCGAGAAAACTTCCACGAGGAGGCAACTCACTCGATACTAAAACCCGCAGCGAGACAACTCCCACGAAGAGCCAACTCGCTCGGCACTACGAACCTGTTGCAAGGCAACTCCCACGAGGAGCCACCTCGCTCGGTAATAAGACTCGATGCGAGAAAAATCCAACAAGGAGACAACTCGCTCAGAGCGACCTGAATCCGCATGCACCCCAGTCGCGCGTCCAATGCTTCTACAACTTCGCTGCGAGACAATTCTCATGAGGAAACAACTCGCCCGAAATTCACTATAAAATTGCAAGCTCAAGTTAGCACGATTACAACCCTAAAAACACTTAGAGATATTATGGGAATCTATATAGCCTGGCCAGCTTGATTACTCAAAATTTATCTACTTGTTTTCGATGGGTCCTTCATTAAAACGTGGCCACGGTCCAAACATACTTACGACTCACGAGGTCTAACAAGGGGCACAATCCCCATAAAAAAAATCTTGAGAGCCTGATCCCCTCCTCAAGTACATCACGCACAAGGCTATATGTAAACACATACAAGCAACGCGTCAAAACATTGACAATATCGACAAATAACAACTCCCACGAGGAGAATACTAGCTCCGTGCTACTACATTATCGCTAGACAACTCCCACGAGGAGATACCTCGATCAACTTTATTACCCCACAACGAGACAACTCCCACGAGGAGATTACTTGATCCGTGCTACTACATTATCGCGAGACAACTCCCACGAGGAGATAACTTGATCAACTCTATCACCCCACGACGAGACAACTCCCACGATGAGATTACTTGATCCGTGCTACTACATTATCGCGAGACAACTCCCACGAGGAGATAACTCGATCAACTCTATTACCCCGCGACGAGACAACTCCCACGAGGAGATAATTCGCTACTACATTGTCACGGGACAACACCGACGACTCAAGTAACTTACATCGCGACAACTTGGTCGCGCTACGCGCCAACGCGCATTTACGCCCCTCCGACAAACGCTCCAACGCGTTTTCACACACCATCGACTACTACAATTTTTACTCTCGACACGATCTGTCACCCATTTCAACATGGCCCCCACATCGACTCGAGAGCGGGGGGCTTAATGATATGCCTAATTGGCCCAACCCAATGGGCCTACAAATTATTTACCTACTGGGCCACGAGCCCAATATCGAAGACCACTATCACCGAGGCCCAATCACCTTCAAGTAAGGTTTGGGCCCGACAATCTCAACTAAGCTATAAATAAAGGTTTAAACTAATTCCTTAAGGTACGTCCTCTTAACTGAGCAATACTACAACTGTATTCTCTAGACTATTTTCTATGATCAACACGTCTGACTTGAGCGTCGGAGGGGTTTCCGTCGGATCAACCCCGACCTAGTTTACGTGTTCTATGATCGCAGGTATCTCAAGGTCATCAAGCTCGTGAGCCAGTGATCCACTCTGCTCTTCCAACTCATCCTACTTCAACTATCTAAGGTGATCTAACTTTAGCATCATCATTATTATATCGTATATTATTGAGATCAATTTGTAGTGGGATTAATGGCGATATAAGTTGGATGGCCACTTTATATAAACAAACAATAAAAGATAAAAACAAAGAAAAGACACCAATACTATATTACAAAGTTATACATTATCTTTGTTATTCCACAAAACCTATACCACTTTTGATAATATTAAGATGGGCTAGGCAAACAATTAGCCATAGGCATATCACTTTTAAGATTACTCAAGTTCAAGGCCTTTACCTTACTTGTGTACAATCTTTTAACATTAGATCTTTGCTCGTTTAGCAATTTCCACAAACTTCTCTTAGCATTTGGCCTAAATGGGCAATTTGATGCCAAAAAACCATCCACCAAGTGCAAATACGCCTCCAAATCATGGCAACACGCCACATCCGCATCGGGTTTTAAGAATGGCGACATTTTCGTATCGACCCTCAGTTCAGTGCCAACATGCGCATACGCCCACGGCATATTGTTATCGAGAGCATTAAGCAACTTTCTCGCCCCGTTTTCTCTCAATTTCTTATCGAGCTCCTCGCTCACGAACATGCCCGGAACTCGAGTGACTAAATCTTGAGAATTTACAATTCGTAGAACTTTGACTTTGTTCGATTGGATTCGATTTGCAAAACCTCGATTACCCACGCGGGGCCCACCGAATGAGAAAACGGCGACAGGTGGCACGTCGGGTGCGCACGTGCTCAGTTCGTCACCGATCAGTAAAGCTAGAGCCGCTCCGAGGCTGTGACCTGTTATTGTTATGCTCAAGGCTTCGCCTTTGTATTTCTCCATTAGTCTTTGGATTTCTTCGACCACCGACTCGGCGAGGCTAGGCACGTGCTCCCCACGTGTTTTGAACAAACTCAGAAACCCACATTCAACTTTGGGCTGTTGTCCGTCAGTTGACTCAATTCCTCCATTTTTTTTTGGATTATTATTATTATTATTATATTCATCGGATATTGGAACCAACACATCTCTTACATTCTCGGCCCACTCGAGACACGTGGCGGTTCCTCGTAGGGCGATGACGATATCTCTCCTTCCCATCCGTTGGATTTCTGTACTGTCGTCGCAGACCGCCACGTACCCGACCCAGCTGGATCGCTGAGTCATCCACCCGAGATCCGGCGCCACGTCATCCACCCATTTCGGCAGCCCGATAGACGCAGTCGCGTAGAGGCTCTTCGTCACGCGGTACGACCGATCCGGCAGCGCCACGTGGCGGGGCCACTGCGCCTCCTCCGTGGAGGTGGCGGGGTTGGAGTGGAAGCAGTGGTACGCCGCCTGAATGAACTCACCGAAACGGACAACCTCCCGCCGGAGATTCTCGTCGAGCGGGTCGAGCAACCCGGCCCAGTCGTCGCTGCCGTGGTACTCGCGCCAACGGCTGCCGAGAATATTCCGGGGAGAATATTCCGCGGACTTCGACAGGAGCCGCTGCAGCCTGTTCAGATACCGCGGCGACATTTCCTCCGCCGCCTTCATTTCCGGCCAAACACTGGAGGCCAAGTTCAAGCCTTCCAGGATTCCCCTACCCCGGTTTTCTCCGGTGGTGTTGGATCCATTTATCGCCGGTTCCGGGTCGGGCGGATTCGGGTGGGGCTGCTTCTGCAACAGCTTTTCGAGGTTGAAGAGGTGTTCTTTAGTAATTTCGGTGGATAGTCTTTCCGGTTTTCGAGTGTGAACCCGGTTCAGTGGATTGAGAGGCGAACCGGAGCACTCAAAGCCTGCGCGCCTGACTCGGAAAAGTTGAAGATTGTGCGCCGGAAGTGTTGATCCGATTTGCATCATATTTGTTTTGACGGCTTAACAAACAAATTAGGAAAAAATCTAGAGAGAGAAAGAGAGAGAGAGAGGTTTGAAATAGGAAAATTACTAAGTGCCCTCACACGGGTTAGTCATTAGTGAGAGAGGACTATATAAGCAAGTAGATTTAGCTAAAATACAATGTGAACCATTTGAATGGACCTTTTTTTCTTTTAATTTTGTTGACCTTTCAAAAAAGTCAATAAATTTTGAGATTTTATTTCTTTATTCAAAGTTTGAACCCCCAAAATTTAAATATTTTTTCTACCATCTTATTTACTGAAATAATTATTTTTACCATTTCACGTTTTTGTTCAACCCACGCTCATATTGGGCGAAAACTAGGAGTTATTGTATTTTTCTTTACCGGATTTCTACCATTTTTTTTTTCTATCACACGGACACCGTATTAATAAAATATTGTATACGCCTTACTAATTTATCTTTTCTAGAAATGAAATTAAAGCCAATATTAAATTGTCATACCGATCTACTGTACTGAAGTATTATTAATAGGAATATGAAACAAAAAACATGTCTCAAAACTTATTCGTAGAATTTCAAAATATTTTGGAACAACGATGTGTCAACAAATTTTATCAAAATTATGTTTGTAAATATGTCGAATTTTTGCTCTAAGAAAAAAAATGTTTTATTTCCCAGTTTGTTCCATAAAATTCAAGATAAAAAAATTGCAATTAAATATTGATAATTGTCAATGTGTGGACCGAACCTAGTAATTGAATTGTTGTTATATTGTTCAAAACTTATGACAATCTCTATTAATATTTCTGGTCTCGTCCCATGTTTTTACGTGTTTCTTTATTTTTTATTATTATTTTCTTTTTGTCTCTCTCAATTTCACCTTCTTATGTAGTAGAACATCATATGCAAATCACCAAAAGAGATGTGATAAATATGGTCGTTTCAGTTTCAATAACTGTTTCGATTTCAAAGGTAATTTTACCCATTTTTGTGTCTGAAGTTGGCAAAATCGTATCTGAAACACAGAATTTGTAGTTTTTTGAGTTAACTTTTTAATCCAGTTCAAATTATCAAAGTGGATGTTGGATGTGAAAGATATGCATGAATTAATGATCGTCGCTCACAACTTGAATGTTTTTAGTTATCTCAAATTTAAAATGTAACTCATTCATGTATAATTTTGTTACATGTCATTTCTAGTTAATTTCAGTTGTATTAGAAAGTTAACTCAAATGACTATAATTTTCGTATTTCGAATTTTCTCAAAATTAAACTAGAAAATGGTCAAAATCATGTTCGAAGTCAAAACAATAAATTCAAACAACATTTAATTATATAACTTTTTGAAAAACTATAATTATATAATTTTCAAAACCATCTATAAACACACACGAAGAAAGAGAGAAAGAAAAAATATCTCCTCAGCCGAATTATTAGTCAAACATCGTCTTGCAATGGTATTATGTATTTTGATTTTTATTAGGTAAAAGGTTGGCAAATAGAAAAATTCAAATTGTACAAGAGTTTCGGACATTTATCAAACTGTAAAGCTACAAAAAAGATGTGTTGGTATAACTTTGTTTTAAAAAGAAGAAGAGCTCAATTGATTTGTACCAAAATTTTGGTTTTGAAAAAGCAACCTATCTTTTGATTGACCTTTTAATTATAATAAGGATTATTGGGGAAGACACCCCCATTTGTTAGTTGTTTTTTTGGATGGATCCAATTTCTTTTTTAAAAAAAATATCTAACAAATACCATTTTTTTTGAAAATTTTGAATTAAGAAAAATACCACTAAAAACCAAAAATAAAAATAAAACCAATTTTTAAAAAATCAAAATGAAAAAAAAGAATAAAAAAATAAAGAATAAAAAACTTAAAATAAAAATATATAAAAAATAAAGAAATCCAAAAGGCACTAACTGGTGGTAATTTAGGTAATCTGCGTCTAACGAATTTACGATTTATATGAATATTAACTTTGTAGTTATCACAATAAATTTTTATTTTTTTTACAAAATCACAGTAAAAAGCTTTATTGAGAGGTTTTGACAAATAACCCCTTAGTATATTCATTTCCCTATATGCCACAGCATGTTCAATAATATAAGTTGGAATTTTCAATTCTATTTCATTGCAAGAACCTAAGTCAAACATATATTTTCAGGAAAATATAAAGTTGATGCATTCAATTATATTTTGTATTCAAATTAAAACTTATTTTCTCTACGAATTCTTATAAATACTGGGGGTTTGAACATTGAATGTTAGGATGGAATAAACATTTTCTATAACCTTCAATGTTGCATTTCTAAAATTCTTTCATTTGATGTTACAACTTACATAGCCAAACTAAAATAAAAACTCAACAAATTGGTGCAACCAATTCTTTAAACTATATTTGGTTAATGTATATATCCAATGAAATGATTTTTGATGCAAAATCCTATTTAAAAATAGAAGTTATCAATTGTGAGTTAAGTTGATTTTAAATGTTTATTTTTAAAAGTTGGGAATGTTTGGAAATTTATTAGATAGTCAACCAGAATTAGAAAAAAATAGGGTCATGGGTGATTAATAATTTATAACTTAAAGTTTCTTAAATTAAGAGAAGCAAGAACAAAAGTCCATTCTGCATCCACATAAAAATAAATTATGAGAAGAAATAAAAAACTCATAATCTATTTGTAAAAGCTTTTGCAAACACCACCTAAGTAATGTCACATGTATTTATTTGCAACTTGCCCAATTTATAATCACGCTAAATTTGTCCATGACAAGCTTACTTAATCAAAAAAGGAATATCTAATTTTTTATTTTTGCAAATAAATCCACCCCTCTAACAATTATTGTTACTAAGGAAAATCTAATTATGTATACAAAAAATTATCCATATCTCCTATAAACACCCCTAATTAATGATTTAAACTCTAATTTGACCACAATCTATCAATTCACCAATTTTGACCCTTAACACAATTTTGGCTGCAGCCAATGTTAACCACTAGTGAACAATGTTGATTTTTTTTTTAGTTTTTTTTTATATATATTTCCAATTTTATTATGTCGCGGTCAATTAGTAACATTAATTTTTTTTTCTTCCGAATATGTTGATGTGCGATCGACAATATAGTTGTGTTGATTGATCAACATAACTATATTGTAAGCAACAATAAATACCGTTATTTTGATGTGGTTGACTATAAAATGGCGCTATTATACTGTCACCAACAGTAAAATAGAATTATTATAATGTGTTCAAAAGTAAAATAACACTATTATATTGTGGTTAACACTAAAATAGATGGTTAATACAGTAACATTAAGAGAAAGAAAAAGAAAAAAAATGAAAAAAATAATATTGCTCTGAAAATTAATGTTGCTATGAAAAATATATATATATATAATAAAATTAATTTTACTATGAAGATTAATGTTTCTATAAAAATAATGTTATTATGAGAAAAAAACAAAAGTATAAAAAATAATTAATGTTACTCTGATAATCAATTTTATTGTGAAAAATAATGTTATCGTGTAACTTAATATGTAATATAAAAAAAATATTAACACTATAGAGGGCTAAAATTAATTAGTTGGTTAATGAAATTGTGTCTAAATTAAATTATGGTTTATCTTCAAAGATAAGTCATGGAGATAAATCAATTAATTACTGGCTAGTAGCATTTGTCTTCTCTGTCGAGTTATAAGAGATAAATATCAAATTAAAAAATTGACTAATCAAATTGTGTCACATCATCAAAGAATATCAAGGACTCTTGTTCTACCAGTATAAATAGGGACCCTCCCTACACAATTCATAGAACACAACTCAAGATAGGGGTGGGCATTCGGATCGGGTTGTGACCCAACCCAATTGGGTTTTTTTTCCGATCTGATCAGGTACTTTTCAAGTTTATCGGGTTTTTTTGGGTTCAGGTACCAGGTGTTCTTAAACCAGGTCGGGTCCGGGTATTAGTATTTTTAACCGGGTACCCGGCTAAAAAAAACCACTAAACTACATAGCCCACTTTCACACAAGCCAACACAATTTCCAGTTCATCTAATGTTATGTCATCTATATATTCCTTTTATTTATTTATTATTGGGTTCCATCTAATATATTTCATTCTGGGCTTATAATTCTTATTTTATTATATTGTAACAATTTGTTTAGCAGTTCAAATTTTTATATTGGCAGCTATTTTTTTTTCATAATAAATAAATGGCTTTCTAATAGGTAATGGTATTTTATACATAAAAGAAAGAAATGTTAGGGTAACCTAAGAAACCCTAATAGCATATTTGTAAAAAAAACATTATATATAAATATATATATATATATATATATATATATATATATATATATATATATATATATATATATATATATATATATATAGATATATATATATATATATATATATATCTCCCTATATATAGATAGATATCTATCTCGATATATCCATATATCTAAACATTCA